AGTACAATCATGCACATTTTTAATAGGTTTTTATCTGACATAGTTGGAAAAATGATGAAAAATGAAAAAATACATTTTAATATACAATAAATTTTTTAATGGCAGCCAATCCAGACTATGAATATATTTCAAGTTGCCTGCCTACTTGCCAAATCAAAACTCTTCATATGACAGATAGCACAGTGGTCTCCTCAAAATGCTTTCTGGTTTCACCAAGTGTCCGAGACTATACTGGGCTGTTTGGGATTTTTTGCTTATACGCATCATGTCTTGCGCAGTTTCCAAACAGTTTCGAATGTTAGAACCAGAACAAACTTGTTGAGATATCAATGGGTAATCTTTTATATGTTGTTCCTATGAAAGTAACATTTTTACACTCTGTATAATCCTTCAAACTTAACAGGAAATTTTGCAGGGTTACATTGAAAATCGGAATCATTTTCCTACATGAACATTGTTTAAATTTTGTTTTACATCAGTTTTGAAAGCAATTTATTTTCAACACTATATAGCTTCAAGAGTTGAAAGGGGACTTTGATGTAGTAAAACAGATTTCTACCCGGTGCCACAGTAACAGTGTTAATACAAGTATGTCACCAATGTGAATGTGAGAAAATACGTTCGATCTTTTGGTTTTTTACTACATAGATATTTTAATATGTTTCAAATTTCTTCACACTAGTTTAGTTGATGAGGCAAAATGGTAGTTGCTGTGTGTGTCTCACACATCATATATGAAAATAAAAACTAATTGAAAGTGATTGACGTGGAAGTGAAAAAAATTATTCAAAGATTTGAACTGGTTGTTTGAATACTACTTCAAAATTTATTTTTTTCCTGAATATTTGACTTTCCAACAAGCAGGTAGGTATGATTTGTTTATTAAAACGATTTACATCCATCCACAATAATAATATTCCGTTGTGTTCAATTTCTGTTTTGAATCCAAATTAGTTTAGACAATAGTTTGTTGTAGAATAAGTGCCTGGAAAGTAAATGGCCAGATTATAAATTGAAATTTAATATTCAAGCAAAACACATGGACGTAGAGCTTCACTTTTCTGCAAGACTCTATATATTATATATATATATTGTCATA